GTCCTAGTCTGTAATAATAATACACATAATAATGGTGGTAAGAATAATAATAAGCAGTGGCATCTGGCTTATAGCGAGTGATTGCTGCGGGCAAGGTCTTGTCCCACGTGTTCCATCCGTGGCAGGGCTTTTGATCCACACAACACTCTGTACTGAAGAACTGTAACATCATCTGTGTTAAAGATGAAGAAATGAGGCACAGAGAGGTGAAGTCCCTAGCCAACAGTCACACAGCTAAATAAGAGCAGAGGAGCTGGAATCCAAACTCAGGCAGACGGCTGCAGGCTCAACCACCTCTGGACAGCCATCCGGAGTCCCCACTCTGGGTGACCCCCACTGCAGGCTTACCTTCCCTGAACAATAATCCACGCTTTCATCAGAATGATCATTTAGGTAAATATTGTTTCCTTGATTACAAAAATATCACCAGCTTGTAGTATTTAAAGATGAAATCAATAAAGAAATCAAAATAGAAAGTAATCATTTCCTATAGCAACCCTCCCCAGAGGATACCGCTCTTAATTTGGTTCCCGTGGGCACCAGAATTTCTTCTTGGTGTGTAGCAACCGAGCACTGGTAGTTCTGTATCAAGATGTGGTGTGATTGATTGATTGATTGATTGAGGTAGATAGTATAAAGAGAAAGAGAGAGAAGGATAGAGAGGTGAAGAGATATAGGCAGATAGATAGAGATAGATGATAGATAGATAAATGGATAGATATACAGATAGATAGATGTAGACATAGATAGATGATATAGATCTGCCTCTGACTTGCTTTTTTCCAGACTGATCTTGTAAAAACACAGCTCGGACCCCATCCTCCAAACCCATCACCTCCACTCCATAGCTCCACGCCATTATTCCTATGGCACCTTTAGCCTCTGTTCCCCACCTCCTGATACCATCCACTGGCCTTCCCCCTCGGGCTCTCCTCACACCACATGTACCAGTCTGGTGCCAACTCCCTTCACTGACCCGTGCTTGTCAAAGGCATGTTAGCCCCATGACCCCATTTGCCCCACTGAGTGTACATTGGTTGTTTACTCCGACCTGCTCTCATGGGAACTCCCAGTGGGGAGAGTGGGGGAGGATGTTTGACGACAGTAGAGATGTGAAGTGGGTAATAGGGAGGGGTGCAAATTGTGTCAGGGTGTCAGAGTAGTATAAGGAGGTGGCATTTAAGCCAAGTACTCAATGACAGGAAGATGGGGGAAGTGCGGTCCAGTGGCAGGAACAGCAAATGCAAAGGCCCTGAAGTCAGAATGAGCTGTCGTTAGTGTGACTTGAGCAGTGTGATCTGGATGTGAGATGCAGAATCTAATCAGGGGTCACAGAAATATCTCCAAGAGTTGTGTCCAGGTCAGATTATCAACAACGCCACCACCATTAGAGCTGAAGCCAGCTGTAAAGGAGTTGGTGGAATCCACTCAAGGGATGAAGCTAGGAAGGGATGAGGAGGAGTCTGCACATTCAGACCAGAGGGAAGAGGAGTCCTGAAAGGGCATCCCTTCACTCCATCATCCCCCCAGTAATTCCCGACAAACCACCTTTGTGTGCCCTGGAATCTGGATGCCAGAGAAACACAGCAGAGAACAAGACCAAGAAAGTTCTTGGCGCCTTGGAGCTCACTCTGGTGGGGAGACAGGCCAAAAACAAGATAAACAGGTACGTGGTTTGCCAGGCCATGATAAGGGTGACAGAAAAAACTGCAGCAGGAGAGGGAGGCAGGATGGGGGTGGAGGGATGCATTTTAGATAAATTAAAGAAAACTGAATACAACAAAAAGGGAGCCACGGGGCGGGGGGCGGAGTGATCTGGAGAAGGAAGAGCCTTCTAGGCAGGTGGAACGGCAAGTGCCTAGGCTCTGAGGTCAGCGCGTGGCCCCACTCCAGGAAGGGTAGAAGTCCAGAGCCGTGGTAAGAGCAAAGGGAGAGGGAGTTGTGGCGGGGCGTCCAGACGCCAGAGGAGGAACTCAACCAAAAGACTGATGTTGCTATTGGAATACAAGGCAGGATGGAGTGCGGGGAGCGCAGGGTGAAGGGGAAGCTCTGAGCCAAATCCCGATTCACCCTCACGGAAATTCAGAACTGTGCTCCCCTGGGCAGGCAGAGAGGGAAGAGCTTATTCAGAAACCCAGAGGTGACCGGAGGGATGTAGCCAAGAAACCACAAGTTTCAATGCACGCTCTGCACAAAGTCTACAAAGTCTATTTATTCGCATGCACATGCTTTCGTACTTTTTAATGTAAAGAATGTTAACACTTTAAAAAGTTAAAACGGTATTATTAGTATTCCATTTTTCTGAAGGCAAATAAAGGCAGAGAAAAATCAACGGAAAAAAAGTTAATGGATAGTGACTCTCCAGGCAGGGGTATTACTGGCGAGTGCAATCGTTTTCTTTGTGCTTTTAAGTATTTTCCAACTTTTCTATAAAGACCACAGGTTACAGTAAGATAATAAATATAATTTTGTGTGCTCATAAAAAAAATACAGAAAGCATAAAGATTATCCATAAAATACCCTGTACTCGCCACATTAAGAAGCAAATGTTAACATTTGGACCTAATTGCTTCTGATAATTTTTTTTTCTTTTTTTTCAAAACAGTCGGGATAGAGTTGAAGCCCCTTTCCACTCCCCCTGCTATCTCCTCAGAAAGCAACCACCGCCCCGAATCTGGAGGGAGGTCTGTTTTCCTGTGTTTACATTTGACTACAGATATGTTAAGAAGTCTGCATTTGTTCTGCTGGCAAAATAATTAACAGAGCTTTCGAAGCTAAACTGCTTAGAATTAAATTATAAAAG